AAAAGTTAGGTATTTTGGTCACGTTTAAACGTCCGAGTTGCCAAACAGCAAGAACGATGATGGAAGCACGATTCCCCTCCAAGAAAAGAATGCAAAAAGCTAACGTTCTTGAATGTGGATTTAAAAAAAGAACTGTTTGCTGTACCTGTTTATGATTATATTATATGTTTGTTGTCCAGGATCACTCAGAATATACGCTTTCTATCTGTATGTCCGTTTCCCGAACTTTCTTCTGTTTCCATTTGTCTTATTCTTTTTTTTCTCTACTCCTGGAATGCCTAACAGTCAGATCAGGAAGAGGTCTCTGGAATAGGCCCTTCTATTCGCTTCGTATAAAGTACTTTTCAGTGTCTCTGATATTTTTGCAGTCCATCTTCTGCGTTGTTGATCTCTAGTTCTGTCACCGCTGTATCGGTACAACACTGCACTCTGTGGTGCCCTGTCTGATGCCAGTCCCGACTCTACTGTCTCTTTCATTCTAGTCTGTTCGTCAGATCTCTTTACTTTCTACGAGTACTGAAGTAAGCCACTGTCGGTTTGCTTGACCAGTCACAGTTTTTCAAACTTCTTAGCAGGTCACACTTGAACTAGACTATCACATTAGTTTATTAGTTTAACACAACTTCCAGGGACTGCGTGGTCTCGTGGCATGATGACCGCCTCAAATGCTAGAAGTTCAGACTCCGGGTTTGCTCACGTAGACTTAGACTTCTAGTAATCCCCACTGTCTCTGGGTAATAAGATCGGACGTCAGTGTGCATTGTTGCGCACGTAAAAAAATCCCTTGGCAGTTGGAAATCGAAAAGAGTAGCTTAGCGGCGCTGCAAAAAATATGGAGTTGAAAATCCACCCAAAGTATTTCAGGATCCCACCGGTGCTACAGAGCCTGTGCACTGTACTGAACTTCTTCGGACTCAGACTTGAGTTAGAAGAAGAACGGATCACTTATGAGTTAATACCAGTGTGCCATGATGTTGATCCGTTGTCAAAACACAAACCTCACAACTTTAACTCTAGGATGACCGAAACTGATCGTCGGTTACTTTTCATTATTAGTAGTTTATCGTAATATCTTCCTAAAACAAACGATAATTCTTATTGACAAAGCAATCCTATCTCCTTTATATTGGGCTTAATGAAATAAAGGGTTAGCAGCTATCAAATCCAGACTAGTTTTAATAGAACGTGTTTTCTTGAGCTAACGAAATATAAAAAC